ACTCACAGCTGGTTGAGCATGCGCTGCATCTCCTCGTTGATGCTGAGGGCTGTGCTCTCCTCCTCATCCCCCTGGGGCTGGCGGGGCCCGTCACTCTCCGACAGGGAGGGGTCCTCCTCGGTGGCAGCCTTGCGCTCCCGCTTCCGCCCCCCCATGGATGGGACCTTAATGGGAGACAAGTGCAGAGACTACAGAGCCGAGGCCGGGTGCATGAGGGGAAAGGGCGGCAGGAGGAGAAGCGGGGGCCAGCGGGGGGCGGGGGGGCGGACAGAGAGAGAGAAGACACAGTTACAATGACAGGAACAGGACGCCAGTCACCAAGGGACAGGCACACAGACATGACGGGCACAGGGCTGCGACCCAGAGAGAAACAGCGGAAACACGGAAAACAGCGGTGAGGGGAGGGGGACAGGGCTTGTCGTGACCACGCGAGGATGTGCACAATGGCTAATGAGGATTTTTTTCCTAAAAAAGGGTCTTTCTAATGAAATGACTGAACAAAAAAGCAAGTTTTAGGTTGCAAGGAGGAGGATACAGTGTTCACAAAGGAGAACCTAAGCCGCATATCCAGATCTGGAAGCCGGAAGAAGAGAGAGAGAGAGAGAGAGAGAGAGAGAAGGCAGAGAGGAAAAGAGAGAAAAGGGGGGGGAGGGCAGGGACACTGAAAGGGGAGGAGTCTGCGCGGAGAAGCCCAGCAGGTCAGGACCGATGGCCAAGGCCTGGGTAGTTTAGAAACAGGGACTGGGACGTTAATAAGCTGCGTGAGAGCAAAACTAACCAGTTTCTTCTGTGGAGAAAGCCAGAGAAGATGAGAGGAAGAGAGAGGAGAGGAGGCGGACAGAGGAGAGAGGGGAGAGATGGGTTAGAGACAGCTTCCAAAAGCTGCTCCTGGCCCCCCAGCCAGTCCCCCGGGGCCCCTGGGTGCCAGGATGGGTGCCCAAGGAGGAGGATGGGCGGCAATGAGGGAAGGCTCTTCGCCTGCCCGACCCTCCCCTGAGGCCCTCCGGTGGACGGAGATGTGGGCGGGGCCTTGCGGAGGTGTGGGCGGGGCCGGGCGGAGGTGTGGGCGGGGCCCTCACCTGGAACATCTGGATCACGTCCTCACAGTTGCGCTGCTGAGCCACATCGCAGAGCTTGGCAGTGATGTCGATGCGGCGGCAGATGTCCATGTCCACCTTCATGGCCTTCTCCTGGATCTTCGTGTCCAGCTCAGTCAGGTTCTGTCCGGGGAACACGGGGAACGGTGAGGAGGCAACCCATACGCCACACCAGGGCCAAGGGGCCCTGGCAAGATCCTCCTCATCCGTCTGGTCACACATCACCACCGCCGCCCGCAGGAAGCCATCGCCAACTCCTCCAGCAGCATGCGTCCCTCTGGGGGCCCAGGCACTGACTTCTCCTGCAACTGGCCCCCTGCCGGATGGGGAGCCCCTGGAGGGCGTGGCCCAGAGCCTGGGACATGTTGGGGGTCCCTCTTGGCACGTATGTTCCCAGAGAGAAAGAGACTACTGGGCGTTAGGAGAGTGGAGAGCCAGGGCATAAGGATAACAACTGGCTAACACTTATTTGGCGCTAAGTGTGTGCTAGCCCTGTCCTCAGCGTTATGTCATCCTCGTTCTGCAAAGCACACGCCTTTATTTCCCCTCCAGCGAGGAGGGAGGCAGGGTGGCTGAGGAATTCGCCCGCGGCCACACTGCTGGCCAGGGGCAGGGCTGGGGCCCCTGCTCTTAGCTTCCTGCAGAACAAGCTCGGTGAGATGGAGGGCGCTGCCTCTCCAACACAGGGGCTGTGTTCCTTCTTTTTCTCCCGAAGCAGCACCGGGTGGCAAAGGAAAAAAACGGAAGCAGAGCAAAGTGGGGGGAGGGGTGGTGGAGCGGAAACCAACAGGCCACACCTAACAGGGCTGCTGGCCTGGCTTTGGCAGCCTGGCTGGACAGCCTGGTGGTAAGCCCGCCGGGGAAGAGTGTGAGGGTGTGCTGGCTGCACTCACGTTGCTCATAAGCCCTTTGAAGACCACTAGCTCAGCTTTCAACTGCTGCACCTTCAGCGCCAGCTCCTCCTGGCAGGCGTCAGCCTCCTGGGCTTCCTACGGCCAACAGAAACCCTGGCGTCAGTGGGACTGCCAGTGTGGGAGGAAGGTCAAGACGGGGAAGGAGGGACCAGGAGCCGGCTCCAGGACCGAGGGGCACAGGGGGGGACTGAGGGAGGCCCAGGCGGTGGGGCGCCCTCACCTCCTGGAGCTCATGCACTCGCTCTTGCAGCTGCATCCGCACCGTGTACTCCTCTTCCCACCTGGCAGACAGGGAAGAAGGCAAGAGCATAGGGGCGGAGTCCCTCCCTGCCCCTAGTTCCCTGCTCCCCAAGTGTCTGGCTCAGGCCTCAGCCCCTGGGTCTGGTT